AAGCTGAGCATCAGAGGATTCCTGCCCAAACGACTATGTGACTGGGGAAGCGGGGGAAGCGCTCCTCCTTTAATGTTTTTTTTTTAATTTGCAAAAAGAGTTCTATTAGAAGAGAGAATAACAAAGCACAGAAAAAATAATAAAAAAGAAAACGAAAGAACTACATAAACGACAATTATTGGTGATTGGAAAAAGACTTTGCATGAAATAGTTGAAAATGACTTGGTTATTTGTGGATCTGTTCTGGGACCTGTTTTGTTCAACATCTATTTAAATGATTTGGATGAAGGGAATGCTTATTAAATTTGCAGACGATACTAAATTGGGAGGGGTAGCAAATACAGTAAAAGACAGAGTCAGGATACAGGATGATCTTGACAGCCTGGAAAACCGGGCTAAAACAAATCAGATACATTTTAACAGGGATAAATGTAAAGTTCTGAATTTAGGTAGGAAAAATCTAATGCATAATTATAGGATGGGGGAGACTTGTTTTGGCAGTAGTATGTCAGAAGAGGATCTAGGGGTCTTAGTGGACCACACATTGAACATGAGTCAGCAGTGTGATATGGAAGCTGGAACATGTCCAGAGGAGGGCAACAAAGATGTTGAGGGGTCTGGAGGGAGAGCGAGGCAGCCGAACTGTGCATGTGTGCACATGCACAGTTCAGCCGGGAGCCTGGATTGCTCCTGACGACGGATGCTCCAGCGATCCGACGGCCACGCTTGCTGCGGCGTTGCAGGTAAGTCCTGCTCTTTAGCAGGTTCTTCTTTCATCCGCATTACCGGCCTGAAGTGACGGATCGGGGACGGGTGCACGCCGATTCCCAGATGTTGCGGTGTGCTCGTGCCCGTTTGCTGCACCCCCAATCCATCCCTCTTCCGGGCCAAAGCCTTCCGTGTGACCGGGGCCGACGGCACTTAGAAGCACTATTGACAGCACTTTTTAATATTGGAAACAAGATATTTCGCTGCTAGTTGGATTCAACAAACACTGACTCCTTTGGGGGATGTCTCTGGTTCAGAAACCCAGCAATGGGCAAGATCAACTGTCCGTTCATGTGCGTTCTCTGTCGTGGGCCCCCGTTTGCAGAATGGCCCGCTTGCTGAGTTCAGGAAGCCTCCAGCTCTCCTGCTGTTGTGCAAACTATATGCAAATCAGAATGATTCAAGAGGGCTTTTTTCCCACACACTCAATAGGGCTGTATTGTACGAAAACGTTTCAGAAGGACGCTTTAATAAAGGGAGACTCCTGTGTATAGTACGTACTGTCTGCTGCTGTATGTATTATCCTACGACGTAATATGTGCATCATGTCAGATGAATGCAGGTTGTTTCAGATTTCTGCAACCATAATCATATTCCATCGCTGACTGGCTGTCCCATCTTTTGTATTGCATTGATTTATATTGTGTAATTTGCCTTGGATCTCTGCCTGTCACAGGGGAGTTACCTTGTGTTGTGACTCCTAGGCATCAGTGGTGTTTCCATCGACACGAGTGGCGTTGCTAGGGTCTCCATGTGTGTTTTTTTTTTAAGTCTCCTCTCCTCTCTTGGGGGGCCTCAGATACCAGGTAACACTCCAGATCCCACATTGACATCACATCAGGGTCTTAGGATGGGGCTGTGGTCGATTCCCATTCGGAGGGGAGCGCCCTCCCCACATAATCCCCTTTTGACTTATGGACCAAAAAAAAAAGGCTCTTCTCTCCCCACCCAGAATTAAAATGACAACCAACAGAACTCCAGTTTTATCCACAATTTTTTTCCTTGTAGTTAAAGACAATGATTATCCCCACCTACCCAACCCCACTTACATAGCGGAGCAAAACTGACACCTAGTAGGGTTGCCAGTCTCCAGGCAGGGCCTGGAGAACTCCCAGAATTATAACTGATCGTCAGAGTACAGAGATCAGTTCGGGGTGGGGAGGGGAGACACCTGGTTTGGAGGGTAGGCTCTGTGGCATTTTACTCCACTGAGCTCCCCCCAGGCTCCCAACCCCCCGCAAAATGTCCAGGGATCTGCCATTCAGGAGTTGACCACCCTAGGATTGATAGCAGCATCTTTTTTTTGCAGAATTAAAATCACAGGCAACTGACCATCAGTTTCATACACTAAATATTTCTTGTACATCAAGCCACAGCTTATCCCCCCCAAAAACCTATTTACATAGTGGTGGAAAACTGATGCTGTCGGTGGCGTGCCGATCTTCCAAGATCTAATACCTTATCCTCCCCGCCGACCTACTTGCAAGTAAACCTTCCCTGGATCCGGCTGTGAAAAGTACTGAGACTGGCAAGTGATTTCAGCTCTCCTACTTTATTGTAGGTTCAGAACAAGACAAGAAACCCCGGCTTGCAGGCTGGCTTATATCCCCAGTAAACCCACTCCCAGAACACACCCCCACTCAGTGATAGGCTATATACAGTGGCCGAGAGTTCCATAGGTCCTGACCAGGATCCTAGCCCTCCAGTTGGCGCGGGCTAGGATCCACTCGGGCCATTGTTTCCCAGAGTGAAGCTCAGAGGCTTTGCATGACCGCGTGGAGAACTCGCCTCGCACGTGGTCAGGTTTAGATACATTACAGGCTGCAAGGTTTTTTCCCTGCTCTTGCAGATCCGAAGTTCTCCTTCTCTTTGGCAATTCAGAGGCTTCTCCCCCCCCCCAGCGGAAGAGCCTTTCTTCTTTTAGGCCCCTCTCCTTGCTCGGCCCCTCTAGCAAACAACATTGTCTCTTTAACCCTTTCAGTACGAGACATAAATTAGAATGCTTCCCATCCTGTTTCCAGCTCCCAGACGGGCGGTCCGGACTTCAGCCAGGCTGCCGCCAGTGGTGCCCTCTGCTGCTCAGTGGGACTGCTCGGGAGTAATTCCACACAGGACTGCACTCCCAGAGTAACCCCCCCCCCCCGCTGCTAAGTACTCGCCG